TTCGCTGTCTGTAAGTGTTCATTCAACCATAATGTGCCCCGATTTTTTTTATGGACTTCAAGGTGCGCTCCTTTTCTGGTAACGTTAGACCCGAGAAGAGCCAGCCTCACCTGCTCCCGCCTGCATTTCACAGAGGAGTTTAGGAGCAGAGTTTCCAAGCCCTCAACCAAACAGAGTCCCTAACAGGGACCCAGCACGAAAGGGAACAGTGTCCCCATCAAATCGCATTTATAATGCCTCCTCCTAAATGTCACTTCAGGAGAGTCCTGAGCACCTTTTACAAAGGAACCCAGATGTTGGGTTTCTCACTCGGAAGCCATTGCCCACATCCTGCTGTAGAGGGGAGAGAAGTGAATCTGACTTAAAATTGGGGCAAAGCGCAGATCCACAGGGACAAGCTCCCTCGCCCCATGCCAGAGAGCGCACTGCCAGCCTCCCTGGCCCTGCCACCCCTGCTCCTGCGCCTCGGGCAGCACTGGGAGGGGCGAGCAGCTAACACTGCCCACACGTTCGCAGCGGCCACGGTGGCAGAGACCAAGCTCCACGAAGAAGAGCCTCAGATCTCAGCACCCAGTGCCGTGCTCTCCCAACACGTCTCCCAAGAGTCCAAACGGGCATCTTAGGAAGGGGGTGGCCGCAGCCACTTCCGAGATGCAGTTCCTGTCTCAGGCCACAGGGCTGAGGACGGCCCCATCGCCGCCAGTCACCTGTGCCACCACTTCAAGCAGGGCAGGGCGTGGAGCTCCATGGCCCCAGCCCCCACTTCTACTTGCCCCTTCCCTCCATCCTGTTGAATGACAGAGGGTGCTTCCCACTTGGGTAAATGGAGCACGTTTTTGTAAGTATTTGGTCCTCATCTACCACACGCAGGTGCGCAAAGTCACAGAAACACCGTCTCTGTAGTAAGAGGCTAAGACTTATCAGAGGAAACAAAACTGTTTTTAAAGGAGCAAACACCATGGTGCTCTTGTCTGGGGCGATGCCGCTGCTGCAGGAGAGGGAGCGGGGCATCCCCAGGGGCTGGGATGTCTGGGGAGCGGGGCTGGGATGTCTGGGGAGCGTCGCAAAAAGGCAGGAAGGCCCTGAGCTGGGTACCAGAGACACGGGGAAACTGAAGGAACAGGGGACCCCCAAGGGCGCAAAACTCACTGGATTCAGCTGGTGATCTGTGTAGAGAAATAACTAACGTGTGTGAGATGTTTAGTGAAGCATTTGACGAGCGGGGACTAGGCGGCTAACCCTGGAGAGGTGGGCTGAGGCCAGCTGGCCAGCAGCACCCGGAATGCCCCATTAGGACATCAGGTTGCATCCCACAAACCGGCAGCAATTTCTGGCGTCAGTGGAGGGTCTCTGGTCGGTGAAATGTGTCTGTTGCCCACTTACAAGTGCTGACATTTCCAGGCGAATGACATACAGACAAAGAAGGTTAAGTGGCCAGAGGGTCTGCTATTTTATAACGACATTCTTACTTATCTGCAACTAGAAAAGCCCAGCACAGAAGTGCTGCCGTTAGCTACCTTTGGGTAATACCATGCTGAACGAATCAAGCATCATAAATACTCATGAGGTTGTGAAAGCATTAAACGAAGGCAATAAAAGTTCTTGGGTATTCTGTAACTTCCTTGGGGCGGCAGTTCTAACATAGGGTTACACCATGGATGCCATGGATGGACTTTAATGAGCCCGTGAACCCCTAAAATTATATGCAAAGGTTAGTGTTGAAAACTCACTAAGGGGAGAGTCTGTCACTTGCTACAGCTCAGAAAGGCCCTAAACAGGCCATAAGCCTAACTTGGGGTTATTTTAACAGAAAACAGCAATAATTTAACCAGGTGGCTGCCTTCCATTTCTAAAGGAAGCATTACTTGGGGGGAGGGGGGTTAGCTTGGGACATTGAGAAGCTTCTGATATTTTAGTGTCTCCCTCCCTTCTTACCAAGAACTGCCCAAGGCAGCTGACCAAAGATTCTCTCTCATCGTTGATGTTTCTCTCCCTCTCCCTTCCTCTCCAAAACCAATAAAATATATAGTAAAAAAAAAAAGAGCCCAAGGAACTGGTCTCACCAAGGTCAAAACTCATTCAAGATTCACAAAATGACTGGAGGGAAGGTAATGAAATAAACAAAGACCACTCAACACCCCCCCCCCCACCCCCGCCAGTGAGGCGGCCAGCAACAGGCCCGCCTCCGCGCTCCCAGCATCTGCTCCAGCGGCTCTCAGACCAGCAGAGTTCCGTCCGGATTAAACCTGACGGTGACAGGCCATGACCCAGGTGCTCCAAGTGCCGCTGCCTGCCTTCGCGGCGGCCACGTGCGGCTTTTTGCGTGACCACATCCGGGCGCCGGTGCGGGAGGCCGGGAGGGGCGGGAAGGGTGCTCCGCACCGGAAGGCTCCCGCGCCCCAGCCCCGGGTCGCCGGCCGCTCCCACTGGCAGGATGCATCTCGTGGCTGAAAGTTAAGTTGGCGACCCCATTCTACGCGCAACGACGAAAAAAATAAATAAAAGGTGCATCCGTTTTCCGATTCCAACGCCTCCACGTTTCCCTGGGCTCGTCGCCCGCGCACGATCTGTCTCCTTCGCAGGTAAAACGAGCCGGGCACCCCGGACCTCCTCCCGGGGCACGAGGCGGGAGGCTGCGCCGCAACTCCCCGAAGCGGCGGTCGGGGACCAAAGACATCCGGTCGCGACACCAGCCGGCATCGCGGGCTCCCAACCAGGCCCTCCGGGGAGAAGCACCGCTGAGCTCCGAGGGGCGCGGGCGGCGGCGGGGGCCCAGGGCCTTCGCCCGCCCGGACCCGCAGGGCCCCGACCCCGGCCTGCCTGGCGCGGGGCGTGCGCCGCGTCTGAGTCTCGCGCCGCCGACAACCCACTCGCAGGAGCGACATCGAAGCGAGAGGAAGGGGGTCTCCCGCCCGGGAGCGGCCCCACGCCCCGGATGGCACCGGGCTGGCACCGGGCATGGGCCCGCGCTGCGGCTCCGCGGCGCCCAGGGCTTCGCTCGGAGACGCCGGTTTCCCGCTCCCCCGCGGCCGTGCCCCGAGCGCGGGGCTCTCGGACCTCCACCCCGAGGCGGTCCCCGGGCCGGGCGCCAGCACCAGGAGCCTCCACGGGCGGCCGCGGGACGCTCAGGAGATGCTGTGCCGACATCCCAGCCCTGCGCGCGCCCGCTCCGACCCGCGCCCGCCGCTGCCCGCCCCGCGGCCGTCAGGCCGGTCCAGCCGCCCGGGTCCTGTCACTCACCGGCCCGGCCCGGGCAGCGGGCGCCCACGGCTCCCCACGGGAGCTGGGCCCCCCGGGCCTCCAGGTTTCTGCCCACCCCTGGCAGGCAGCGCAGGCGGCTGAGCCCCGCAGCAGCGGCCCCGCACCGGCCGCTCGGTCCAGCTCCCGGCTCTGCCCACTGGGTACGGATCAACAACAAGATGGCGGCCAGCCGAGGGGGCGGGGGCCGGGCGTCATAGTAACCAGGGCGGCAAAGAACCCGCCCCCGGCCGAGACTGTGCCCAATGAACAACCTCTTCGCCCGACACCCGGGGAGTGCTTCCCGCTGACAGGCCAACCTGCCTGTCAATCAGAGCCAGCCTCCCGAGGCCCGAGCCGAACGCTCCGGCACGTGACTGTGACGGCACCGGGGGCGCATGCGTGCGGTTCGCGGGGTGGTTGGCGGCAGAGCTTTTGCCGGTGACTCCGAGGCCGTGGCGCCCTTGGCGTCTCTGCGTCCGCCACTCCGGTGCGGACCCGGCCGCGTCTTCCTGCGCGCACGCGGCGCGCCTGGGCCATGCCTGCTGGGCGCCGTTTGCTTTTCTTGGCCACGCCCCCGGGAAGGGAGGCGTTGCTGTCCCCCGTGCACTGGCGAGGAAACTGAGGCGCGGAGGGGAAGCGGGGTCAAGGTCACGCCACCTCTGCCCGTGGAGGCGCCGGGTTTAACGCCCATTCCCAGCGGCGTTCCCCGCTTTGGCCCCGAGTCCCGGGGTGCAGCCGGCAGTGCTCTCCCGAGCAGCGCCTGCCCCGCGCCCACGTTGCCCCTCCATCTGGAGTCCAGTTCCCCGCACAGCCCCTGGCACCCCGCGGGCGCTCTCCTCCTGCCCTGGGGTATCTCGTCCGTCCTGAGATCCTGTGACGGTCATGATAGGCCTCGGAGGCCGACTGCAGTCCTGGGCTCCCATACGGAGCACCGACCCCTGGGCTCGGCTTCGGGGCCCACAGCAAGTGCGCGGCCCAGCCAGCACCATCTGCGGCCCAGGATGCCCGTCTGGCTCTAGAGATGAAGATTTAATGAGCCCTCGGGGAAGTCCGCCTGCCACCACTGCCCACAGCAGCCTGGCTCGCGTGTCTGCCCCCAGGCGCTCAAGCTCCAACTCCCTTGCCCACCGGGCGCCCTGGCTGCTTCCCCACGGGGGGGGGGGGGGGGGGGCACCGTGCTGGCTCAGGAAGGGAGGCCTTCCAGCCCCGGAGCGGACGCCATCCACAGACTCGGCAGAGGGGAGGCTGAGAGCGTGGGGATACCCAGCCCGGAGCCTCCCGGGGCAGCAGCGCCTGCGGAGAGCTGGCAGTGTCCTGGGACCTAGGCCCGGCTGGGCGTGCAGTGGGCTACCCTGCCCGCGGGCCTGCTGCCTGCAGGGAGCAAGGCCGCCTGGCCATGTGCAGCAGCTCACCTCAGCACAGGGAGGGCTGAGGGCCAAGGAACCAGGCGAAACATCAGGAAGAAATGGGAACCACCGCTCAGAAGAGGGACCCTGCACGGCCATCCATGGCACCGTCTCTAGTCCGCACCATCCCACCTCAGTGCGGAAGCTGCGCTCCCTCCCGGGAAAGCCTCCCCCACAGGCGAGCTGCCAGCCAAGCGGGTCCTCCTCTCCTGGAGGGAACAGCCCCGCCGACAGGACCAGACTCCGGCTCGGCAGAGCCTTAATCGAGGCCATGAGCGCACTGGACATCGCCTTCCCCAAACGCACCTTCCTACGCCCTGTGTTCCCAGGAGGCGGGGCGGTCTCCAGGGCAGAACAAGGAAGCACAGATCCCAGAGCTCCTCCCACGGGTGGGTGACAAGGCTGGGCCTTCGCTGTTTGTAACTTTGTTTATTATTGAATCAACTTGAAAACACAGCCCAGGGTCAGTGAAGAAATTCCCACGCAGTGAGGCAGCTTCGTGGCCTCAGAGCCAGCGCCAGGCTCCCGAGCGCGAGTTGAACAGGAACTCTCGGCCTGTCCCTGGGGGGGGGGGGGGGGTGTCAGAGAGGAGACACTGCTGGCCCAGCAGCACTGTCCCTCCCCCAGGTCCCTGGGCGGGAAGCCCCCTTCTGCTGGATCCAACCTGGCCCCCCACCCCCACCCCCTTTCTCAGAAAATTCTTGGAGGTCGAGCTCAAATGCGCAGGAAGCACCCTTGAGTCCCCAAAACTGGACCCTAGGTCCCTGATCCAGGGCCGGATCACTCCGCCACAATTCATGGGCGACCGTGGAGCCTCCCCACCTCCCCGCCCCGCCCCCACGGGCAGGAACCAGAGCAGCTCTGAGTCCACTATTTCCCGGGCCCACGGGTGTTTGACAAACGTTGGCTGAAAGGTGAGTGGGATGAGAACAGACCCCGTTCAGGGAAAGAGTAGATGGTGGGTGCCTGCGGTAGGAGGAGATGCTGAGATGGGGAAAGGAGAGGAAGTGGGCCTGGATGGGGAATGGGTTGGGAAGAGGGGGGCTCACGGGAGTCCTGGGCTCTGCCATCAAAATGTTGCTGTGGGAAAAACGAGGGCGCATGATTGGGACCTGAGCCCGCCTGCATCCTGCCTCAGGGTGGCCCTCCATCGGGAGGGGCAGGGTTGGCAGGAGGAGCTCCCAGCAGCCTCGTGCCGCCCTGCACAGGATGGGGGGCGACAAACCAGGCTCATGATGCTGCCGGGTGCCTCGGGTGTCTCCATCCTTGGCGCCTCGATGAACCCCTCAGAGGACCCCACAGTTCCCTGGATCCTGGAGCAGAGTTAGAGGAGGGCCACAGGGTGAGGCTCTGGGCCTCAGCCCGAGGTCAGGTGATGGCCTGGCAGGCACCGCGGTGTGCGGAGCAGGCTGGCCTGTTTAGCAGCAGAGCCTGGGCTGGTTTGCTCGGTGCCCGCAGCCCCTGGGCCCATCGAAAAGGCCAGGAGGAAGGGCCGAGCGTGCGGGCGGCAGACCTGCTGGCTCCAGGCGCCAGCGCCATTCATGTCCCCTTCGTGCTGGGGAGAGCCTGTGCCTGTGTGCAGTGCCCCCATTGCTGCCCCGCCACCTCCTGGGTTCAGCTCTGTGCCCACAAGAAACTCCGAGGTTTCCGGTGGAGGCCGGGTAAGGAATAGGGCCAGTGCCTCAGGCGCACACACCGGGAGGCCAGGCCTGGGCCGCCACGCCCATCCCGTGCCAAGCCTGGGCTCCGCCAGCGATGGCGACAGCTTCCTTCCCTGGCCTCTGTGCCTCTAACTGCCACCTCTGGAGGGAGGGCAGCTCCCTGACTAGCAGTCTGTCTGCTCATCCCAGTGGGTTTTGTTATCACATCTCGGCTGCAGCCGCCTCTCGCAGGTGGGGTCCATTCACGGGCGGGGGGGGGGCAGGAAGCACCCTACCCCCGGAGATGCCTGCTGAGGAGCCAGCCCAGGGCCAGGAGCAGGGCACCGGTCACCGTCAGCAACACCACAAACCAGGGCTCCGGCTGCCAGAAAGGCTCCGTGTGAGTCACAAGCAGGGGCGTCATCGCCGAAGGCACCTGAAATGGGGGCACAGCCGCACCCTGTCCTGCCCGAACCCCTGGTCACCTGCCTTTGAGCCCCTCAAGGCTTGGCCCCCCCCACCCCCACCCCAGGTTTGCTCTCTGGTCCTGCTCTGTGCACCAGCAGTTCCCTCTGGAATGCCTTCCCCCAGGCTCCGCCCGGAAGACTGGGTCTCCTCACCCACCTAGAGCCTCTCCCACCCGCACGGGCCCCGGGCCCCCTCACTGTGGCTCTGCTGGTGCTGGTGGCCACGGTGCTGGCCCTCCAGGGAACCAGATGCACAATGACCGTGGCTGTGGTGCTGAGGTGGGGGGTGGAGGGACCTGCATCGGCCACGCGGATCAAGAGCTCATAGGTCTGGGGCTGCTCTGGCAGGGAGGCCCCCAGCAGGAGGTCGTCATGCAGCAGGGCGGCTCCTTGCAGGCGGAATCGGCCCTGACTATTCCCTGAAAGCAGTGGCAGGAGGAGGGGACCATTGCTGGCCTTGCTTGCTCCTCTCCCACATCCTGGCGCCCCCGGGCCTCACCTCCCACGAGGCTGTAGGAGAAGGCCTGGCGCTGTGGCTCCTGTGGGACCCGACATGACAGCTTGGTCACCTCCGTGCCACTGCCCGGGGAAGTGTGGATGGTGAGTTCCTGGAACGGTGGCTCGCACTCGGGGGCGTGGTCATTCACGTCCTGCAGGCAGGTAGCCAGGTCACCTCTCCCCAGAGCCCCCGGCCCGCCCTCAGCCTCTTCCCGCCACAGCTAGAGCCTGGGTATCAGGCAACAGGCTACAAAGCTTTCCCCACGAGCCCCCACCCCACCCCTTCCCCAGCCAACCAGTGGAAGAAACTGAGGCACAGAGTGAAAACTCAGGGTGCCAGAGGGAGACCCGAACCCTCTCGTTCTCCCCAAGGCCTCGGGGCTCGCTCACCTCCACCTCAATGGCCATGGTGCAGGAGCCGGAGCGGGGCTGAGCCGGGCCCCGGCCTTGGCTGTGGTCGGTCACCAGGACGGTGAGCCTGTGCAGCCTCTGCTGCTCATAGTCCAGCGGCCCCAGGAGGCGAACCTCGCCTGGAAGGAGTGACCGCGCTCAGCCTGCAGCCCACTCTGCCTCCGCCCTGCACCCCAGCCCGCGAGGAGGTACCGCTGAGCCGGTCCACAGCAAAGGTGGCAGGCCCGCCAGGGGTGTGGTACTCAATGCCGCCGTGTGGGTAGTCCGAGTCCGTGCCCACCACGGAGCCCAGCAGCGTGCAGGGCTCTGCATCCTCGCGGACCCGGAATGTTCGGGGGACACAGGTTGGGGAGAACTCGTTGACGGGGGTCACCATCACCAGTACTGGCACCTCAGCTGGAGGCCATTAAGCAGTTAGGGCGCTGGCCTGGGAAGGGCTGGGGGAGACCTGTCCCTGTCCCGGGGGTGGGGGGGTGAGGGGGCCTCTAAGGAGAGAGAGGCGTCTGGTGGGAGGGAGCGTCTAAGAGAGGAGAGATAGTCTCCCCCCCCCCCCCCCGCCCCGTACAAAATGGAGACAAACAGCCTAACAGTTTTGAGGGAGGAGAGATGACCCCATCCTGAGAACAGGACCAGGGAGCAGAACACGCCTGTCCCGACCGCCCAGCCTAGTGGCCACTCACTGCTCATGGGGGGCTGACCGCCATCCAGCACCAGGAGGGAGGCCGTGAGCTGAGGGCAGGCCCCAGGAGAGTCGCAGTCGAGGGAGGCATTCACCTGCCCGGAGGGGCGAGAGGCCGCCGGCTGTGAGAGCTAGCGCCACGCTGGGCTGCCTCGCCAGGCACCCACATGCCCTGTTTTCCAGGCTGCCAGGCGGGTAGGCTCCCCCCATGTCCTTCACCCCCGCGGCCTGGCTCTCCCAGACGCTCCCCCGCGCCCCCCCCCCCTTCCCAAGCGCGTGGGCCTGGGAGCAGGGCAGGCACCTCCAGGACCCGGCCGCTAAGGCGGAGGCTGGCCGGGCCGTGGGGGCTGTGGGCCCGCAGCTGGTAGGTGAGCGGGGAGCCAGGAGAGTCCGGGTCCTCGCAGGTGAAGGTGCTCAGCACGGTGCCCACAGGCCTGGTCTCGGGGACCTGAGTCCTGGGAGCAGAGGGCTCGGTCCGGCCGGGCGTGGGCTGTGGCCGGCGTCCCAAAGGCCGAGGCCAGGCTGGGCGAACTCACAGCAGCAGCGCCGGGAGGCAGCGCGGGGGCCAGCGGTTGACCGGGGTCACGTTCACGGTGAGATCCAGCTGGACGCTGGCCCCCGGCCGCAGCCGCTCGAAGGCCCGCACCTGCAGCGTGGTGAGCGCCGCGCCGGCCCGCGCCAGGTCCAGGGGCCCGGAGGTCCGGACCACGCCGTCCGCTGGGCCGGGAGGGAGGTGGGGACGCAGTGCTGGGCGCCGCCCCAACTCGGGGGTCCCCCGCCCGCCCGTCCCCGAGGGCGCCGAGCCTGGCCCCCAGGTCGCCGGCTCCAAGGCTCGCCTCTAAGCGGCCCGGGCCGGTTCCCGCCGCGGCTCCAGCCTCTTCCTCGGGAAGGCGGAGGCCGTGCGGACACCCCTGAACCCCCCGCGGAGGCCACCCGTCCCCCCGCCCCTCCGCGCGCCTCACCGCGTCCGATGGAGAAGAGCGGGCCGCGCGCCGGCGAGAGGAGCTCGTAGCGCACGTCCCAGCCCTGGGCCTGCGCCCGCGCCACCGAGCTGCCAGGGGCCAGGTCCTCGGGCACCGTGACGCTCAGGTTCCGCTCCCTAAACCACAGGGCGCGGCTCCTGCCGACCCTGCCCGCGCCACCCCCACCCCCACCCCCAGCGCCGTCCCCCGCCCTCCTCCCGGCGTCCCTCACCAGCCACCGAACCCCTTTCCGAGCGGCCCGCCTCCCCGCTGCGCAGCCGGTGGGGAGCCTTACGGGAAGGCGACCCGGGGGGAGGGGGCCGGCAGGACGCGCACGGTCAGCAGCCCCCGGCAGCTGCGGCCTCGCCGAAAGGTCACCAGCACCTGGAGCTGGAAGAGCTGCAGGACACGGCACAGGACGGGGACCACGGTGCCTCTCCCCGAGCGACCTCCACAAGGAGCCCCAACATCCCCTCCTCCCAGCACCCGCCACTGCTAACATTTCCCTTTGGCCCCATCTTGGGCCATGAGCCCTTCTAATAGGGTGCAGCAGCCCCCGAAAGCGGCCAGTTTGAGTCCTTCACGATGTGACGTGCCATCTGGGAGCTGCTAAGAGCCCGTCACTATGACTCGGAAGTTTTAAAGAAGGAACGTCCCCGACCTCCTCCAGGGCACCGGCCACTGTACCGGACTCGCCCTCCCTGTGGGACGGCTCCGAACACTCCTTTCCTCCCGAGACGCCATGGCTCCCAGAGCCAGGGACCCTCTTCCTTCTGGAAGCAGAGCTCAGCGCCGACCCAGGCCGCCTGGGACTGCGGGTGCGGGTGCGGGTGCGGGTGCAGGCACAGGCCAGGCTGTGCCTGGGAGAGGCCGCATCACATAGGAGGCCCAGGAGGCCAAGAGCAAGCAAGCCTCCAGGAGGTGGTAGCTCTGCCAATTGTATGCCCAGGCCATGGGCACCCCCAGGTCCCGGTCATGCTCACCTTTGGAGCCTGGCCTCTGAGGCCCTGAGGGGGTGCCTGCAGCCAGCCCTGCCCATTGATGGAGAAGGGTCCAGGGAAGTGTGGAGGGTCCTGGGCACTGGTGATGCTCACCTAACAGGGCAGAGATGTTGGGGTCCCCAGCCCAGTGCCCCAGGCATCCCCGTCAAATCCCCAACAGCCCAGCAGGTACCTGCCTGCACACCACCCTCCCAGACCCCTGACACCGACGTTTACCCTAGCTTGGCCCCCTTGGCCCTGACCCTTAATCCTTTCTGTTCTTAAGCCATTTACTGTGTGTGTGTGTGTGTGTGTTAACTACATTTTTTTTTTTTTCATTACAAAAGTGGTACAGAATTTTCAAGGAGAATTCAGAACACAGAGAGCTTGAAGAAACTCGGCCCTGAGAGGTCCCTGTGGAAACAGCCATGGTCACCAAGGGGCGCCCTTAACAGCCCTCTCCCTGACACGTACCCTGCAGACTCAGCTGCGCGCAAAAGGCTCCCTCTGCAGGCCACGCCTGGCCAGGCAGGGGCTGAGCCTGTGCTGCCTCCATTCTGTCCCCCCCATACACACACACACTGCCCACGTGCGGGGCTCACCTGGGCTCCCTGGAGTTCCAGGCCTGGGAGCAAAGTGTAGAGCCGAGCCCCAGGTGTGACTGTTTCCGGCACCTGGATGACTTCCCCAGCTGCCACGGGGAGTCAGGGAGGCTGTGCTGAGGCCGTGCCTGCCCCCTCCGCCCCCCACCCCACCCCACCCCCGCCTGCCGCCCTGGCCTCACCGGGGCTGACAAACCGGCCAGTACACTGGGCATGGCCAGGGTCCCGCCGCACATCCACGGAGAGCGGTCCCTGGGTCACGTCGTTGCCGCATGTCACCTGCAGCTGCAGCTCATAGTGGTTCACGGCCAGGGCGTCCAGCTGGGTGGAGCTGCTCAAGGTCAGCTGTGGCAGGTGAGCGGGGCCGGTGGGGGCTGGGCTTCCTCCCCCTGCCCCACCTCTGGCTCTGTGGGTGTAGGTCTGCCCTGCCTTCCCCCTGGTTCCAGCTGGTCCCAGGACCCTACCTGTCCCACATAGAGCCCCTGCCACCTGGCCAGGCTTGGGGGGTTGAAGAAGGTGCTGGGCGGCTGCACCTGGAGCAGCTTCAGGGTGGGTGTATGAGAAGAGCAGTTGAAGGAGAAGGACCAAAGGACGGTGCCGGGCCCCTGGCTCTCGGAGACATTGACGAACGAGGGCAGGCAGTGGAGGTCTGGGAGGGAGAGGCCGTCAGGCCGAGGGCCCCTTGCACACGGAACCCCGCCAGGAGCACAGCTCTGCCTTCTGCCACGGGGTCTGGCACGTCCCCCCACACCCAGCTCTAGGTCAGCTCATGTCACAGGTTGGGAGTGAGGACTTGGTTGAGGAAGAAGTCAAGATAGGAGAGAGGGTCAGGGTTCAGACCTTTGCCCTCTCCTGGCTTTCCCCCAGCCCCCCTCCACGGCAGCTTATCTGTGAAGGCTCAGGACTCCCCTGTGGAGTGTGTGGAAGGGGGAGAATGGGGTTCCCCACCCACCAGCTCCTCACCAGAGGCAACCAGAGCAAGAAGAACTGCCAGGGACCTGAGCAGCACCATCGCGCCCACAGACACCGACAGGACAGTGGAGGAGACTCGGAAAGCAGCCGCCTCTGCCAGGCCCACCTGTTGCCAGGTGACGCTCAAACACACTGGGTAGGCGGGACTCCTGGGCCTCCCAGGCTGTAGCCGCACCCATCACCCACTCCCGCACCTCCCCACCCCACCCCTCACTCCCCGGGACTGAGCTCTAGACTCCAGACAGGCATCCAGAGGCCTGTGAAACCCTGTTTTTTCATTGCTACCAAGGATTTCCTCTGTTCATTACTACCCGAAGGAGGTGTGAGGGGGAGAAGCTTCAGATGCGGAAACAGCTCAGGAAAGTCTTGGTCATACAATCCTTGGAGACGGAACAAGACGGTACCCAGGAACACTGGGCCCACGGTGGGCTACCCATTGCGTCTGAACTCCAGCTGCCACCCCCGTCAGAACGTTATCTGCCTACAAAGTCTGAGCCCAGCCACCAACAAAATGTCTCAGAAGTTGTTTACCTCTGTCAGGCAAAAGGAATCCCTGGTGACAGAAATCAAGTCGCAGTTATCTTGGGGATATCCGGGAGGTGTCCTACACATCTTGATCTGGGTGACAGATGCACAAGTGTCTACAGGTTTTAATATTTATTGAGCTGTACCTTTAAGAATTGCCATTTGGCCCGGCCTGTGTCGCTCAGTGGTTGAGCATCGACCTATGAACCAGGAGGTCACGGTTTGATTCAGGGCACAGGCCCGGGTTGCGGGCTCCATCCCCAGTGTGGGGTGTGCAGGAGGCAGCCGATCCATGATTCTCTCTCATCATTGATGTTTTTCTCTCTCTCTTCCTCTCTGAAATCAATAAATTTAAAAAAAAAAAAAAAAAAGAATTTTCCGCCCTGACCGGTTTGGCTCAGTGGATAGAGCGTCGGCCTGCGGACTGAAGGGTCCCAGGTTCGATTCCGGTCAAGGGCATGTACCTTGGTTGCGGGCACATCCCCAGTAGGAGGCGTGCAGGAGGCAGCTGATCGATGTTTCTCTCTCATTGATGTTTCTGACTCTCTATCCCTCTCCTGCTCCCTTCCTCTCTGTAAAAAATCAATAAGATATATTTTTTTAAAAAAGAATTGTCCATTCATTGTTACAGGTTCTGTTTCATCTTCCTACCTCCACGCGGGGGGGTGCTCCAGGGCGCAGTCCTGACTTCCCAGCTCCCCTTTGCTATCACATCCGGGCACGTGGCCTTAAGTACCATCCTCTCGCCCTGCCTCCAGCCAAGGCTTCAGGGCTGCTCTCTCTCCCAGACTCCGCGTCACACCCCACCGCCCCTTCGATGGATGGATGTCTAACAGGCATCTCCAGAGTGACGTGTCCACCAACCATCCTGTGATTTTCCTCGCAAACCCACTCTTCTCCAGTCTTTCCTGGATCAATTCACGACCATCCCATCCAACCAGATGTTCAGGCCAGAAGCCCAGGAGTCATGCTTGATGCTCCCTCTCCCTGCCCATATTCACGCATCACCAAGATCTTAGCTTCAAAACATACCCCAAAGTGACCCCCTTTTTTCATCAGCCCCCCTGAGGCCCTCATGCTGGATTGGCGCAGGGGGTTAGGGCTGTAACCACTCTGTAACCACTCATGATTACAGAGTGGTTCTCCCCAAACAGCGGGGACCCCCTAAACAGGACCCAGCCCAGGGCATTCCCTGCTCAAACGCCCTCAGTGCCCCCGTCACACCAAGAGCAAAGCCTCCGATTCCCAAGGCTGCTGGGGGCTGGTGTTGCCGACCTCTGCGCCCTCCCAGCCACGGCCATCACAGACATCGTGGGCCTCCTTTGTGTGAAGGCCTGTCCACTCCTGTCCTCCGGGGCCTTTGCCTGGCTGGCCCCTCTGCCTGGAAGGTCCCTCTTCTTAACCTCCCAGCACGGCTCATGCAGACCCCGGGCAGGGTACCGCTTCCTCTGCATCCCCTCTCCCGTCAGCCCGTTGCCCTCAGGCCGGCATTTTTCTGGCTGCTGACTGGTGGTCTGTCTCCAGTTGGACAGTATCCTTGACCCCAGCCTGCAATCCTGGCGCAACCGGGAGCAGGCTCCGCCGTTCCCACCGGAGGGCGCCGCCCTAACCCCCTGCGCCCCTCGGTCTGCAGGGGATGCAGACATCGCCGCAGGAATCGCCGTTCACCGCGCGCTCCCCACTAGAGGGCGGCCCGGCCCAGCTTGGCCCGGACCCGGCAGGAGAGGGCGGGGCGGCCCTGGGTGAGTGAGGCTCCTCCCGGTGCTGCCGCCATGGCCCTCGCTGGCTACTGAGCCCTCCGAGGGACCGGGCCCAACCATCACTTCCAGGGATTGTCCAGGCGCCGCGGGAGCGGGTTCAGGGGTCTGGCTCACTCTGCCCGCACGAGGGCGCAACCGGGGGACCGTCCGGTACAAATGGGGAAACTGAGGCTACGTGGGGGAGCCACTCGTTCTGGGTCACGCAGCGAGTCAGAATGAGCTCAACCGCCCGGGGCGTCGGGGAGTCCCGGCCCGACCCCGCCCGGCTGCTAGCGGGCCCGCCCTCCACGGAGCCGGAGCCGAGCGGGCAGGGGGCGTGGCGCTCACCCGCCCGGCCGGCCCTGGGGGCGGGGCCACTCCAGCCCCGCCCGGCCCATTGGCTGCGGCGCCAGGGGTGGGGCGAGGCCGCCAGATGTTGGGGCAGCGCCGGCGGCGGCGGCGGGAGCGAGGAGCGGCGGCGCTGGGCAGAGGCGAGGGCGCCGCTGGCCCGCGCCCCCCACGGCCGCTCCCGCTGGAGTTCGCAGGGGACCCGGCGCGCCTGGCGGAGGCTCCGGCGCGGGATGCACAGCGCTCGGCTTGACAGCTTCCTGGGCCAGCTCCGCGGGGAACTGGTGAGGCTCGGATGCGGTGTGACTCTTGGGGACGCGTGCGGGGTGCGCGGCTCGTCGGCCCGAACGACAGTAGGGTGGGGGGCTGCTCCGAGTGACGGTCCCAAGCGGGATGGGGGCGGAGCGGCCCGGGGGTCCCAGATGGCCCGCGTCGGGTTTCGGACGGTTGGGAGCTGCGCTGGGCATCAAGTAACAGCCGCCCAGCTGGCCGTGCTGCGGGCCGCGGAGGGGGCTGGGGAGGTGGGGACAGACGCTTCCTTTGGGATGGAACTGGGGCTTGAGGGACCAAGAGGCGCTGGGGGTGCTGTGGACGCCCCTTCCCAGGTTTGCCTGCACCTCCTCCCTCTACCCCCACCTGGGAGTGCTCTGTGGGCTTTGGGGGGCTGATCCCTCAAATGCCCGGGATGCTCCACCCCAACCCCCAGCCCTGAGTAGGACCTACTTCCCGATTCCTGCCCCGCAACCCTGCCTCCCGCCCGGTGGGTGGCGGGTGCTGACTTGCCCAGCTCTGCGTGCCGCAGCCTGCAGACTGCCACCAGGCCGCTCCTGGGAGCCGGGAGCTTTGTGTGCCAGCGCCCGGTGCCCTGTGCTCCCCGGAGGCCTTGCTGCCCGCCCGGGGCCTGTCCAGCCCTCCCGGGCCCTCCTTTCTGGGATTGGCCTGGCCAGACGGGGAGGGGTGGCAAGCACTGCCCCTCCGACTTCTGCCCTCTCTTCCTCCTCAGCCGTGTGGCCGGGACACGGGCTCACCCCCAATGCCTGGCCCCCTCCCGCTGCCCCCCAAACCCGGCCCCGGGGCCCACCACCGGCTCAGGGCCTCTGACGCTGTGGAAGAGGACTCGGTCTGCTGTGTGGAGGAGGAAGAGGAGGAAGGTGTGGTGGCAGGGGACAGCCGTGTGGCCTGGGAGGGCCCTCGGGAGCCCACCTTGGACTGGGACTCGGGCTTCTCCGAGGTGTCAGGCAGCACCTGGCGAGAGGAAGAGCCGCCTGCCCTCCGGCACCCTGCACCCCCAGCGTGGCGCCCCCACAGGCAGCGCCTCTCCGCCAGCGGCCTCCCCCTGCCCAGCGGGGCCCCCGTGGCCAGGGTGCCACCTGCCCACCGGCCACGGCCCAAGTCCACCCCGGACGCCTGCCTGGAGCACTGGCGGGGCCTGGAGGCTGAGGACTGGACAGCGGCCCTGCTGAGCAGAGGCCGGAGCCGCCAGCCCCTGGTGCTGGGGGACAACTGCTTCGCTGACCTCGTGCACAACTGGATGGAGCTGCCCGAGGCGGCAGGCGAGGGGGACCGTGCGGGGGCACCCCGTGCCCGTGCTCGGCCCCCCCAGTTCTTGCTGGGCCTCTCGGAGCAGCTGCGGCGCCAGCTGGCCAGGGCCCGCCGGGCAGCCGTGGCGGGAAAGCGCCTGTCGTGCCCCCCTCGAGCAGAGCCCGAGCTGCCCACGGACACCTCCCGCTTCGCCGCCCTCATGAGCTGCCGCAGCCGCCAGCCCATCATCTGTACCGACGTCATCAGCTACCTCTGACCCCGCCCCCAGCGCCGGACAATAAAGACCTTGCTCTGGACCAGGGGTGGGCAAACTTTTTGACTCGAGGGCCACAATGGGTTCTTAAACTGGACCGGAGGCCGGAACAAAAGCATGGATGGAGTGTTTGTGTGAACTAATATAAATTCAAAGTAAACATCATTACATAAAAGGGTACGGTCTTTTTTTTTTTTTTTTTTAGTTTTATGGCCTGCGGGCCGTAGTTTGCCCATGGCTGCTCTGGACTGTTCTTGATTCCACAGCGAGTCTCTGGGAGGCGGCCCCAGCCCTCCAGGCACAGCTCGGGCAGGCGAGTCTAAAGAGCCTCCCCCTCCAGGGGTCCCTGTGCGCCCTCAACACACCCATGCCCAGGCTCCGTCACCCAGCCTCTGAGTTTGCGACTTCCTTCAGCAGCGTTTATTGAGCACCTACTGTGGGCCCCGCGCAGGGCCCGATGGGGTGGAGCAGCCGCTGCCAGGTCCCAGCTCGTAGTGTAGGGGCGGGAAAGCGGTGCTGTCCTCCTCGCCCTCACAGCCGAGCTCCAGAGCCAGCACCCACTGCCCAGGCTCAGGCACCCGCCGGCCTGTCACCTGCTGTGCCAGCTCTGTCACCCTGGGGTGGGGGGGGAAATTGGGTCGTTGAGCAGTGGCTGCAGAGAGTGACCGTGGACTAGGGCCAGAAGGAGCCCAGCCAGGAGCAGCAGCAACTCAAGACAGGAAACATCTGCAACTATTTTCAGAGCGGCTGGCGGGGCAGCGGGAGGCAGGAAACGCCTGTCCCTGGGGAGTGGGCTCTGAAGGGGGCGCTGAGCAGGGCGAGGAGCCGGTGTGGCCACCAAGGAGGCAGCTCCTGGAGGCCCCTCTGCGGGCTCTGCCCCCACCCCTCCCCCAGCCCGTTTGCTGACTCCATTTGGCAAAAGAAAGCGTCATGTAGGTGTGAGGGGCCCAGATGGGGCCTGGAGGAGAGGCCTCGAGTCCCCCACCTCCAACCTCCAGGGACAGAGCAGAGCCAGGCGTGGGCTCACCTGAGGCCCAGGCGCTGGGCCTGCTTTTCAGGCGACCATCCCGCCGAGTAGAGCAGGGCCTTGCCCAGCAGCAGCATGTTCACCCGCAGCCCATGTTGCTCCTAGAGAGAGACGGGTCAGGTGCCGCTGGGCCGGGCGGGCCGGGCGGGGGCAGGGAAGGGAAGGCACACCTGGAGATGGGCCAGGAGTGACTGGAGGGTCCTCTCGGGCTGCCCGGCGGACACCTTCAGGCGGTCCCAGCAGGTCCAGGTCAGGTGGTGGAACTGCGGGGGCAGGGAGGGTGGACAGGGGGGGAGTGAGGTGCTTCCCACAAACACCCTCTCCCGCCCCAGCTCCTGCAGCCCATGCCTTCCCTAGAGGAGCGCTGGTGGGAGCAGGAAGCAAGGAAGCAGCAGCCAGGGGTGGGGGTGGGCGGTGGGCTCTGGGCCCGGAGGCTCAGCGCCACCCCAGCCCATGCGGCCGCACAGGAAAGGCCATGGGGCCCCCACACAGGGAAACGGCCTCCCTCACAGGCTGGCTGTGTGGGAGGGGGAGGGCGGTGCTTCCTGAGGAAGTGTGAGCCGGGCCTGGGCTGGAGTCTCCAATGAAGCCGCTTATTCCTCAAATGCAAGCCTGGGAGCTAGGAAAGGGGGTGTACAGCCTGTCCCCCCTCATCCTGCACTGCCAGGGCCTTGGGCTGCTCATGGGCACAAAGGGACAAGGGGCATAGTGTCTCCTGGGACCCCACTGGCCTGGAGACCCTGCAGGGACAGTCCACAGAGGTCCTCTTCCTGCCCCTGCTTCCCTGTTTCAAGAGTCTGGGGGGTCTAGTGCCCAGAGCTGAGGGCAGAGGGTGGCAGGCAGCCAGGGACCCAGGCATGAGGTCCTGCCAACCCCCCCAGGAAATATAGTGGGGTCAAGCAGAGACAAGACCAGAGGTGAGATGGGGGGATCCTACCCCCTCCCCCTCCACCATGGACAAAGGCAGCCTGTGTGCTAACGGAGGCAGGGCCCCTCACAAAGCTGCTCTGTATGCTGTGCCCTGAGGGACCCGGGGACACTTAGCCAAAGCCCAGTGCTGGCCCATGACCTCTGCCTTCTCCCCTGGTGAGGACATTCTCTCCACCCCCTCTTCTGTGCCCCAAGGAACAGCTAACTGCAGAGCTGGGCACACAGCCAGGGCCCCTCGCAGCCCTGCTCTCGAAGGAACATATGCACAGCAGCCAGGGACACCCACACGTGTGCTCACACGCACCCCGTGAGAGCCCACATCGAAGAAGAGCCTGCCCTCCCATCTGGCACACAGATGTGCGAGCACGCTCCCTCCATGCCCACACAACCCCGGGCACAGCCTGTGCCACGGACACACACATCCCAGGGCTGCAGACCCCAGCCCCGTGACGCCAGGAGCTCAGTGCCCTTTAACTCTGTGTGGACGGGGCAGGGCAGGGTCCCCACGCCATGCAGGCAGAGGCCATGCAGTGAAGGCTGACATTGGCTCTGCTTGGGGCTAGGGCCCTAGTCCCCCTCCCCGCCCTTCCCCCTCAGGGGCACTCCTGGGAAGGAGGGAGCTGGGGCCTGTCTGGCTCACTAATGAGTTAAAGCTGCAGCTCCCCCAGACCCAGGGCAGCGGAGTGCTGGGCGGTGGGGGTGGCTGATGGCTACTTCCTGTGTCTGACAGGTCCCAGTCTGGCTTCCCAGCAGCAGGAAGGGGGCTGAGGGCGTCTTAAGAACCCGGGTCTTAGTGCAGGCCAGAAGCCAGAGGGGGCCTTTGGGTAGGCGCAGGGGAAGCCCAGGCTTGGAGTGGGCGGGTGTCAGGGCTCACCGTCTGGAGGGCGGGGGCACAGGGCACGTAGCGGCTGTAGTAGTTCTCGGCCAGGCGCAGGTAGCTGTGGCGGAAGGCACTGCGGGGCCGGGGGCCGCCCACCACCTTAAAGAGCTCCAGGCCCAGCAGGCCCGCCACAGCCGCTGTGGTGGTGGCGATGGCTGGGATGATCTGGCCCACGATCCGCTTGCTCTGCCAACAACAGGAGACTGGGTTTGGGACGGGTGCGGGCCGGGGTTGGGCCTCTGCCTCCACGCTGGGGCCAGCAGGCAGGGTTACCTGGGCGCGGGTGGCCGCCGGGATCCCATAGTTCTGAGCCCGCAGGCTTGCTGCCGCTGTCACAAAGTCCATGTGGAAGTTGCAGTCATCGTCCTGTGAGGTTCAGGTCACAGAAGCATGAACACTGCCATGCCCCTCACCTTGGCGACCGTGTGTGCGGCTGCGCCCATCCCCCCACGGTTCTGTCCATGATGCTCACCCCTCCCCTCAGCAGGGAAGGGAAGGGGAGCTGTCCCTGGTCCCGCTGAGAGGACTCCGGCCAAGGGGCCCCAGCGCTGCCTTCTCAGCCCCTGACCTTCCCCAGCCGCCTCCCAGCCTCACCCTCTCCTGCCTCGGGCTCCCACCTTCTCAAACCTCAGCGGCTCCAGGGGGGAGCCCTCGCTCCAGTCTTGCAGGGCTTCGTGCAGCTGCGCCTCCTGCTGGGGGTCTGTAGGGAGGAGGGAGAGTCCTTGGCCCGTCTCCTGCCTCCTGGACTCTGACCGGGGCCGGGCCCCTTCTTGGTCCCTTTCGGGAAGACCTCTGACTGATGCTGCCGTCTCCTCTCCACTCCGTGTGTCCGTGTGTGTGTGTGTGTGTGTGTGTATGCATGTGTGTGTCTGCATGCATGTGTGCGCGCGGATGCATGTGTGTGCGCGCATGTGTGTCTGCATGCATGTGTGTGCTGTATAACCCTGTCCTAACCTAGGGCCATAGATAAGTGCTCCTCAGATCCCAATGGTTTGTGTTTTTTTTGCTTAAAAACCTGCCAAGTGGCCTGGTCGACGTGGCTCAGTGGTAGAGCGTTGACCTGTGAACTAGGAAGTCACGGTTCGATTCCCTATCAGGGCACGTGCAGGGGGCGTGCAGGGGGCAGCCGATCAGCGCTTCCTCGTCAGTGAGGTTTCTGTCTCTCTCTCCCTCTACCTTCCTAAACAAAACAAAACCTGCCAAGGGAATGGGGTCAGGGTGGAGGGTGGGGAAGGCGGCAGGGAGGGGCCTGCGGAGGGGCCCAAGGATGCGCTGTGCGGCGGTGGGTTGGCTGCAGGGCCCCAGACCCGTCTTTCCTCTACACTGAGGGCAGCACCAAGCCTTTGGGCGGCAGCTTGGGGGTGGGCAGGGCCGGGACCTCACCCAGCTCAGGGGAAGCCAGGTCACCAGAAAGGATAGGGTCCAGGTGCTGGGGGTCAGGCCGCGGCAGCAGCTCCAGCATTTCCCTGAGCGCAGACGGGTCCCGTGAGCCCGGCAGCCCATGCATCTGAGCGTACAGATTGGCCGCCGCCAGCATGTAGAGGAGGTGCGTGTCCTGCAGTCAGAGCAAGAGCAAGCACGCGTGGGCGCGCGTGTGCGGTCCCGCCCACTGGTGGGTGTTTGAGTGCCTGCCTCTGCCTCTGCCCACGGGTGCCCAACACGCCCTGCCAGCATCTGTGCAGGAGGCAGAGGGGCCACTTTGCCCTCAGGGGCCCACTCACTTGACTGGCATCGAACTCCAAGGGCTGAGGACACCGCCTGGGACCCGACCAGAAACGTGTTCCATCCTTAAGCACCTGAGGAGAGGGAGGCTGCTGGGCTCAGGCGGTCCCTCTGCGCCCGCAGCCTCCGGGCCCCCGGTACCCACTTTGTCAGGGGGGTGGCGCCTGAGCAGCTGTGCGATGCCGTAGCCGAAGCACAGCTGCCAGTGGCCGAGGGCCCACACCACACAGTCCTGCCAGCTCCGTGGACGGTGTCTCAGGACACCCACCGTCTGCAGCGGGGCCCTGCGGAGAGGAGGGCGTCTGAGGAGAAGCCTGAAGCCCTGGAGCTGGGGCCCCTGGACTCCCCCCTCCCCTGGCGGAGGCCTTACTGCTGGTGGCAGTTGATGGTCTCGGCAGACAAGCAGAAGAGCCACTCGAACTCCTCCCGGGCCCACTGCGGGGGGGTGGGGGAGACGGAAGCAGGAGGGTCAGGCGGGGAGCAGCCTGCAGGACTGAGCACGGGACAGGGTCTGGGGGTTGCTCCCCACCTGCAAGGTGTGCTCCACAGTGCTGGGGAAGTGCCTCACGGTGCAGACAGGGTAGGGGGCGTCCCCGGGGGCAGCAGCGGAGGCCGGAGCCCTGTAGCCTTCAGTCACGTGGGGCACAAACACGGAGGCGCTGCCCCGGGTGCCCTGCGTGCCCGCCTCCAGCAGCGGCTTCAGGTAGTGGGCGCAGCGAGCAGCCACATAGCGCCCTGGGGGAGCAGAGGGTCAGGGGCGGGGCTGGCACGGCCTTGCAGGGGGCGGGGGGGGGGGGGCGGGTGCTGAGTTCCCAGGTCAAGCACTCACGGGCCTGGAAACTGTCCAGGGCGGCCGCCACACCGTCCACGCGGGAGAAGAAGCTGTCCCCGTAGTGGCGCTCTGTCGTGGGATCCAGAGCGTGGGTGAGCGGGGTCACCTGCAGGTCTGGGTTCAGGCGGCGAGCGGCCTCCGCAGCTGCCTCTGCCTTGGGCCTCTGAGAAGAAAGCAGAGGACGCTGGGGGAAGGGGGGGACACCGTGGAGGACAGTTGGAGACAAGGGGTGCTGGGAGGGGCAGGCACTCACCCCAACGTCCTGGGCCCTGAAGAGGAATTGCCGGCTGAGGTTGGAGGGCTCCACGTGGTCCATGTCGGCCACGGTCACGCCCCCACCGGTCCCAGCCCCCAGGCCCATGAGGGCGAAGCCTTTGAGCAGCTCGCAGCCAATAGCACCAGCACCCACCTGCCAGCAGGAAGGGCCTTAGCCAGAGGGCGGGCGCCGCCACCCCCCACTCCCCCCTCACCCAGCTCACCAGGAGGTAGTGCTGGTGGCTCAGCTGCTCCTGAAAACCAGCCCCAAACACCGCGATCTGCCCGTCGTAGCGGCAGCCTCTCTAGGGGACACAGCCCACATCAGTGCTGGCTGCTGGCGCTGTGCATGGCCCTTTCCCACGGGGCTGCCCAGGTCAGAACCTCGGGGCCCAAGTTTGATAGGGCGTGGACCCCACGGGGCTCTCACCGGTGCGCAGGCCTCAGGGCTGGGAAGGAGCTCCCCATTTTCCGGGAGGCAGTCAAGGGCATCAAAATACAGCCACTGGTCCAGGGGCAGGAACTTCCTGGAGAGAGCCTGGAGGCCGCACGTCAGGATGCTTGCCACCATCGAAGCCCTCGAATCCGGGTGGGGGCTACACCAGGCTGTGAACCTCCAGGGCCACTGTCTGGCGTGGGGCACCCGCTGGCACTCACAGCGACCTCTGCGTCCCTCCCAGCTCCCTCTGCCTGGGCCCGCACCCACCTTCAGCACCTCCTGGGCGGCCACTGCGCCCAGCATGGCTGCCATGGGGCTCAAGACACCGGCACTGCTCAGGGCGACGGTCCGCACCAGCGCTTCATCCAGCGGCTCCTCCCACGGCTCTCCCTCTCGCTCTCCCTCTGCCCCCCTCAGGGGTTCCAGGGCCTGGGCCAGGCGTACCACCTCCTCTGCATCGGCCTGAGCGAAGTGCTCAGTGGGCACAGCAGCCGTGGCCTGAGCCCCACTCCCCACTCAGACCCTCAGGCAGCCACCACCCTGTTCCCCAGAAAAGGAAGCCGGAGCCCGAGTGGGAGGGCAGACAGGGTGCGGTGCCAGGCTGTGCAGCCTCAAGAGAGGACGCCCGGCGCCAACCCACGGCCCTGGGGCACCCAGCCCGATCGGAGGGAGCGGGACCCAGGCTCGCCTTTATTTATTTATGTATTTTTATATATTTTGCCCCGGCTGGTTTTGCTCAGTGGTTAGACTGTCGGCCTGTGGACTGAAGGGTCCTGGGTTCAATTCCGGTCAAGGGCACATGCCCAGGTTTCAGGCTTGATCCTTGGTAGGGGGCGTGCAGGAGGCAGCCAATCAATGATTCTCTAGCATCACTGATGTTTCTTTCCTTCCCCCTCTCCCTTCTCCTCTGAAATCAATAAAAATATATTTAGAAATAAATATATATATATATATTTTTTAATTGATTTCAGAGAGGAAGAGAGAGATAGAAATATCAATGATGAGAATCATTGATCGGCTGCCTCCTATGCCCCACACTGGGAATCAAGCCCACAATTTGGGCATGCGCCCTGATGGGAATCGAACTGTGACCTCTTGGTTCATAGGTCGATGCCCAACCACTGAGCCACGCTCTCCTTTCTCTGAGTGGGAAACTGCCTCTGGGATTCCAGCTTGGATCTGGAGACCAGATTCCAATGAGACGGAGGCTGGGGGAGGCGCACCGGGGCCACTGACCGGATCCCAGGGCCGGGGCGGGTGGGCTCTGAGCTGCCGGAACCTGTGCAGCGCACGGAAGGCCTGGTGCAGGCAGCGGGCGCGGCGAGCTTCCTGGGGACTCTGGGCCACCACGCAGGGCTGCAGCAGGGCTGCGTCCAGGGGCGCCTGCAGGGGCATGAGGCTCGGGGTCAGGCCCAGAACCCTGGGGGCCCCTGGAACCTCCCAAGCTCCCCCACTTCAGATGTCCGCACTCACATGGCTCACAGTCGTGGGTCTCTTGACCTCAGTGACAGCTCCGCCACGGACGTAACAGGAGAAAGTTGCTGTGTCCCCAATCTCCAAGGTCCCGTCCTCTGGGGATGGATATCCAGCCTGGTGAGTGTGACCCCTGAACCTGAGTCCCTCCCCACACCCCCATCCTATCTTGCATCCGTGCCCTTGACGTCGCCCCAGCCTGAGGAAGGCAGAGGGAGGACATATCCCCGAGGACCAGGCTGTGTCCGTCCCCAAGGGGCGCGTGGGTGCTCAGCCTGGACCTGGAGGGGGTCGGCTTACCCTGCACGCGGATGGGCCGGGGCGCACAGCCGTTGAGCTCGCTCATGCCCTCAATCCCTGAGAAAGTCACCGAGCCCACCTGGTGGAAGTAGTGGGCCTCGGCCGCGTTTCTCAGAGTGAGAACGCCCGGGGAGCCCTGGGGAGAGGGCACAGTTCAGAGGTGCCTGGACCTGCATTCCGCGGGCCTGGCACCCCTCCGCCCACCCAGCGCCCACTACCCAGCGCCCACCTGGGAGATGTGCTGGATGGCAGCGGTCAGGGGCTCCTCCTCTGTTTGGTCCTGAACCGTGAAGTCCTCCCCAAAGTCACAGAACAACTGCCTGGGGTGGGGGGTGGCAGAGGTCACAGGGTCACTGGGGTGGCTCAATGGTTAGCCACCACGATGGTGGCAAAGGCCGGGGACACTAGGGGCCAGAATCAGGAAAGGATGCTGGGAGCGGCTTGGGCGGGACTTTGAGGGCGTCACTGGAGCAGGTCTGGAGGCTGGGGTGGAGGACACAGAGGGGCCTGGAGACCAGAATCAGAGGGGGCGAGAGACAGCCAAGCGGGCAGCCTCACTCACCCCACCAGGCCCCGGGTATCGGCCACCAGAAAGCAGACTCCGTGCTTGCGGCACCAGCGGCCCACCGCCAGCTGCTCCTCTAGGTCAGAGGCCGTCAGCACCACCACCTGGCGGACCTTGGGGTCAGTGGGGGCTGAGGGCTGGGGCTCGGCCTGGCTGTCCGGGGGCGGGTGGGACGCACCTGGAAGTGCCGCAGCAGGTCCTCGGTGATGTCGCCTGTGTGGACGCAGACCTGCACGGCTCCGTTGAGCTTGGCCACTCGCTCTTGAGATGCCTCAGCCCTGCCCCTTGCCAAGTCCCGCTCCGAGAGGAAGAACTAGAGAGAAACCCAGTTCAGCCTGAGCCAGGAGACCCGCTCCGGCCCGACCCTGCACCGGCCCGACCCCCGCCCAACCCCCGCCCGGTTGGGAGGCTTCCCGGGACCTCACCTGGGCAGCCAGGTCCGCCCAGCAGGTGGGCTGCGGGTCGTGCAGAGTGAGGCTCCCCACGCCCATCAGGACCAGGTTCTTGGCCACCTCGGCGCCCAGGCCCTGCAGGCCGGACAGCAGGACCTTACCCTCCTGCAGCCTCCGCATGGCCGGCAAGCCCAGCACATACCTGCGGGCGGGAAGGAAGGGGTAGTGAATTGGAGCTCAGAGGTCAGAGGCCACCCCTCCCTCCCCATCTCGGGCCTCACAGCTGCCGGGAGTACAGCTCCTCATCCAGCAGCTTGGAGGCGTCGGGGACATCCATCCCGAGGCCGGCCCGACGGCAGTGCCCTGCCCACAGGTGCCAGGAGAGGCCGGTGCCCGGCTGGGGCCTGTGCAGCAGGTGCTGAGGCTCAGGCAGTGCCAGAACCTGCTGGGCACAGCTTTCCTCGCTCCTCTGTCATTACAGGGAAAGCGAAAATGAAAGTGAAACTGGAGGCTGGTCTGGTTCCTGGTCCTGCCCCCGGTGGTGCTGGGCAGCCTAGCCAGACAGAGATAAGCCTAGGGCCCCGGGCACAGCCCTGGGCAACGGGCAAAGTGGGCGGAGCACCTGGTCTCAGAGCAGGAAGTGCAGCCATGGGGGGGCCCATCGGGGCTGGATGCAGTGTGCTCCTAGGGTCCCAAGACGACCCACACCTCCCAAACCTCTGGGAGCTCAGGGGCCTGCCTGAATGGGCTCCCGCCCACATGATGCTGATGGGAATTCCTTGTCCTGGGGACTGGCCGGCCTGCTGGCTGTCCACCATCCAGGGATTTAGAGACCCGGAGGTCTGAGCCAGTCCCGGCCCAGAGGCCGTGGGCACTTAGGAGGTTATGTGGTCTCAGCCGAGGGCCCAATCCCAGCCCTGGGTGGAGCCTGGCATCTCTGGGGTGTCTGCGAGGCCCCGAGCCATCCCCTCTGAGAGGAAGGGTCCCTCCCGGCCCACGGCTGCCAGCCCAGAGTGGATGCAGGTGGCAGCCCGAGGCGGCCAGTCGGGATGAGTCCCAGGACTCAGCGAGGGTGGCCAGTCTGTGTGTGCGAGGCATGGGGCAGGCATGATCACATGTCCTTGTTTCTCCTTTAAACTTTTATTTTGAAATAATTATACACTCAAAGCAAGTTGCAAAAATAGTAGAGAAAGGTCCTGTGTAACCTTCGCCCGCGGATGTGCCGTTTGCCTTCTTAGGAACTCGGAACCGGCGCTCTGGAGAGTGGTTGCCAAGCGGCGGTCCGTGAGGCCCGAAAGGCTGGCGACCGCTGCTTGGAGGGCGGCCACAGCTCCCCACGGACCCCCACAATAGCTAAGCCTTTGCTGTCATACAGTCTTCTTTTAAATTGAGGTAAAATTCACATAACATGAAAATAACCATCCAAAGTGGTCAGGTCAGTAAGATTTAGTGTGTTCACAGCGCTGTGCAAGCACCACCCCTCAAAGCTTTCCGACACCCCCACCACCACTGCCCACCCCAAGCCCCTGACAAACACATAGTCTTTCTGTCTCTAGAGATTTGCCTATTCTGGATATTTCATATAAAAGCAGTCATACAACCCTGGCCGGTTTAGCTCAGTGGATAGAGCGTCGGTCCACAGACCGGAGGGTCCCAGGTTTGATTTTGGACAAGAGCATATGCCTCGGTTGCAGGCTCAATCCCTCCCCCATCGGTGTGTTTTTCACTGCGTCACTCCCTTCCACTCTCCCTAAAAGTCAATGGGAAAATACCCTTGGGTGAGGATTACAACAACAAGGAATCATACAGCCCGGTCAGGGGGCTCCGTTGGTTGAAACATTGTCCTGTACACCAAAACGTATGGGTTCGATTCCCAGTCAGAGCACGTACCTAAGATGCAAGTTCGGTTCTGGGTCAAGGCGTGTACAAGAGGCAATGGATGGATGCTTCTCTCCCTCCCCTCCTCTTTCTCTAAAACCAATAAAAAACAAATCCTCGGGTAATGATTAAAAAAGGAATCATACAAAATGTGAACTTTTCTTCACTTAGCATGTTTTTGAGGTTCATTCACATTGTAGCAGGTATCAGTGCTTCCTTCCTTTTTATGGCTGAGTAATGCTCCATTGTGTGCATGTATCATGATTTGTTTATCCAGTCACCTGTTGATGGACTTCTGAGTTGGTTCCACCTTTTGGATATTATGAATAGTGAATGCTGCTATAGTCATGCTTGAACATGTAATTAAGGCCTTGTTTTCAATTCTTTGGGGTACATACTTAGGAGTAAAATTGCTGGGTCACATGGTAATTCTGTTTTTTTGAGGGACCAACAAAATGTTTTCCATCAGCAGTGTACAAAATTCCTATTTGTCAACATTATGACCAATATTGGGTTTATCTTTCTTTTTTTTTTTTTTTTAAATTATACTCATCCTGCCCTAGCCAGTTTGGCTCAGTGGATAGAGTGTCTGCCTGTGGACTGAAGGGTCCCAGGTTCAATTCTAGTCAAGGGCACATGCCCGAGTTGCAGGCTTGATCCCCAGTGGGGGGCGTGCAGGAGGCAGCCGATCGATGATTCTCATTGATATTTCAATCTCTTTCTCCCTCTCCCTTCCTCTCTCTGAAATCAATAAAAATATATTTAAAAAAAATTACACTCATCCTAGTGGATGTAAAGTGGTAGGTGATTTTGTATGTGTGCATGTTTTCATTCAATAAACATTTTTAAAAGTAATTTATTAATTTGAGAGAGACAGAAACATCAATTTATTGTTCCACTTATTTTTTTTTAATATATTTTATTGATTCTTTTACAGAGAGAAAGGGAGAAGGACAGAGAGTCAGAAACATCGATGGGAGAGAAACATCGATCAGCTGCCTCCTGCACACCCCGTACTGGGGACGTGCCCGCAACCCAGGTACATGCCCCCGACTGGAATCGAACCTGGGACCCTTCAGTCCGCAGGCCGACGCTCTATCCACTGAGCCACACCGGTCAGGACTGCTCCACTTATTATGCATTCAATGATTGATTCTTGTATGTGCCCTGACCGGGGATTAAGCCCACAACCTGGGCATGTGCCCTGACCGGGGATTGAACCAGGACCTCCCGGTTCATAGGTCAATGCTCAACCCCTGAGCCACACCGGCCGGGCTGGAAAACTGTTGGGCATGACTTTCTAAAGCAGGACTCTTACCTAGACTCAGGCATCTCTCATAGGGCACAGACTAGCAGAAATGAATCACTGCAGCTTTGTCCACAGACGCCAGCCTGGGCACGGCCCAGACCCTGCAGGCACCTGTCAGGCTGAAGAGCCAGGGCAGGGCCCCGTGCCCTCCTCTGTGGCCAGAAAGCCGTGAGGTCGCTAGCTGGCAGCGGAGAGAGTGGAGCACAGACTTCAGTGTACAAGGAACCCATATTTTGCAAAAACATTTGAAAAAGTCACAAGCGGACAGCTTCGGCCCTCAAGAAGCAAAATTTAGCAGTCCCGGGGTGTGGGAGAACTCAATTTCCAGAGTTACCCTAACATACTACTCAGAATATCCGGCCGCAACAAAACATTGCAAAGCATGCGAGTAAACAGGAGAGGGTGACCACTCACAGGAAGAGGAGACCGTCACAGAACGTCGCTGGCGAGTTTTGGAGCTGAGAAGTACAATGACAAACGGAAGATTCACTATCACTAGAGCCACAAAAGTCCACTGCTTTCTTACATATCAGCAGTGAGCAACTGCAATTGAAGATATTATCATTTATTAGTACCAAGAAAAAGGAGGGGGGAAAGAGAAATATTTAAGTATAAATCTAACAAAATATGTACAAGATCTATGTGAGAAAAACATCAAAACTGATGAAAGAAATTTTAAAAGTTCTACATAAATGGAGATCTATTCCAGGTGCATGGAGAGGTAGACACAATACTGTCGAGATGTCAGTTCTGCCCGGCAGGCGTGGCTCAGTTGGTTCAGTGTCGTCCCAGGCACCAAAAGGTTGCCGATTCGATTCCTGATCAGGGCACATGCCCCGGTTGCAGGCTCGATCCCCAGCAGGGGGTGTGCAGGAGGCAGCCGATCAATGCTTCTCTCTCATCATTGATGTTTCTCTCTCTCTCCCCCTCTCCCTTCCTCTCTGAAATCAATAAAATATATTTTTAAAAAAGTTTTCCAAAGTACAAACGTCTACTCCTAGACACAGGAAGAAAAGATTCTTGTTTATTTTCAACATAGAAATCTCGCCCCTCCTCTGCCCACCACCACCCTTTGTTGCCCCTCTGCTTGGCCAGGCCACGCCTAGCAGGACGCCAGGCAGGCAGAAGCTTGGGCAGGCGAAGCTGTCTGTGCAGCCTTGAGCACTTGGTCCATACAATCAGCAAATAGCCCTGGTCTGGAGGCTCAGAGGGAGCCCAGCAGCTGGTCGTGGCCATACATGGGGGCCTGCAACACGGAGCAAGCCTGCTGGCAGGAACAGTGAGCTGACCACAGCTCCCCCGACCCCGCTAGGCCCAGTATGGGGGGTGAGGCCGGCTGCGTGCTGGGAAAGCACATCCTCTGGGCCTCACCCAGCCCCAGCTTCTTGTCCGCCATTGCTCTGAGGCTGGTCCTGGGAGATGGCCGTGCCCCTACCCCCCGGCTGAGCCAGTCCTCGGCTGTAAGTCGGAGGCCGTTGGTCAGCCTCACTGTTCTTGCTACCACAGGAAGGTGTCCAGCTTGGCCTGGGAGGGAGAGAGCGCTGTCCTGGCCCCCACCTTCTGCTTAGCTTTGGCCTTGGGCTTGGGCTTCACCGGCAGGGGGCGGATCATAGTTGTGTCGGTCTGAAGGAGATGTCAAGGCAAAGGCTGAAGGGGGCCTGGAACGCAGGCAGGAGAGGCTGAGACTTGGGTTGGGCCGCCCGCTATACTCAGTGAGGTCTGGCTCTGCACACCTAGGGCAGCAGCCCCTGGCAGGCTGGGGTTTGGGGTACAGGTGAGGGAGGGTGTGGGCTCCAGAGCTCAGCTCAGCCCAAGGCCACAGAACAAGGATACAGGCTGGATGAACTTGGTCCGGCCCCCTAGGCCATCGAAGCCTGTTCTGACCTGAAGTGAAAGGAAGAGATGAGCGACAGGCTGTGGGTAGGCCGTGGGCTGGCCTTGCCCCCACGGGAGGCACACTCACTGCGTCTGTGCTGCGGCGGGGCTCCGCCCTGGCTCTCTTGGCTAGCTTCTGGCCCAGGACGGCGTTCCGGATGAAGAGTGGGAAGGCGCCGGCCAGCTCCTCGTCGGGCTCGCCGGCACAGTGCTGGCCGCCCAGCGAGAGCCAGGGCTCCTGCCGGAGACCCAGGGCCAGGCTTGAGCTGGGTGGCAGCACTTGAGCGGGATGGAGGACTAGGACACCCCCCACCTCCTGTGCCTCTCCGGGGAGCAGAGAGGACAATGGGCAGGTTTCAGGGGGCCCCACAGGGCCCCAATCCTGGGCCAGGACTGATGGGTCTGGCAAGA